ATTCGATAAAATTGTTGCGCAGACGTGTGATGAGTTTAACTCTTATTGTTTTACATTTCATATTTCTGTTATACCTATATATTTGGCAAAATATAGAAATGACTATTAAATAATTGGTTTAAAACGACAAAGTACATTACGTTTCATCTGATTGAAATTAGTGAGTCGAAATAAATGCGATGTAAGGTGCGAGTTTCATTCACAGTTTAACGCGAATCTCATTAACATGCATTTGCGTTCTATGCGTCACACTGGCTTGTATAAAACCACGCGTGCATCCAGTCATCTTCTTTCTTGGTATTAGTTGGTATTATTCAAATATTAAATATCTATTATTCGTGCATGAGAAGTGCGACGACGCGAGCGCAGCGATTGGAGTTTATTTAAATTTAATCACAGGACAAAGTGTTCGTATTAACCGGAATATATAGTTTCTATATAGTGACAAGGAAAAGGAGGTGAAAGAGAAGAGAATAGGGAAGAGAATTTAATATCCGGGCGAGCACATTTGCATATGTGGCAACGAATACGCGGATGGCCGAATTGTCCGAACAAATTTGCTCGCTCGCGGAAATATATAGAAAATGTGCAACGTAAAGTCGCGATTCCGCAACGACAGCTCGGTTTATGCGGATCACTTTGTCCGACGTGCAAAAATTTTGCGCATCCGCGTTCGTAACGTCCGCGTAACGTCTCTTTCTCACTCGATTTTACGTCTGATCGATTTTACGAATATCGTACACTTGCGATATAGTGAGAGTGAGTTTGACATGGCTATCAAACGTGTGTCACACCCAATCGGAATGATTCGTTGTTGCTATATTGAAATTCACGAGCTGTCATTACAGTTTATTCGATCAAGTGCACTCAAATATTTTGACAGTAAATATTTGTGAGGTTTTCACGATACATTTTTACGAGACGCTTTTATGTCACATGTACAAGTTATTTATTTCGCTATTTTATAGAGTTTACCAAGGTTTTTTTTTGGATATGATTCTTGAAATACATAAACTTATGTATGGTATATACACGTATCGTTCCCTTACTTTAGAAATGATCTTTCAAAATATTAAGTTATAAGTAAATATTATTTTCCACAAAAGGAAACAAACTCTATTTTTTAACTTGTTTTTAGCCCTTCAGGTCCAGAAGTTCCTTAATCCGGCGCTAGTAATCTGTTGTGTATTTATGAAGTTTTTAAATGATATTCTTATGTTAAAAATCAAAGATATCGCTGATCTTATAAAAAAAATTATGTAGCGTCATATTGAAGCTGTCTGCATTGATTTTTATAAATATAAATTAAACATCTCTTTAAAAAAACTCTAGTTTTTTTTTTTTTTATCAAAGAAACACAGTAGTTTTTATTTAAATTAATACTTAATGATACTTTTAACGTACTTTATAAGTATTTAAATTTTAAAATGAAAGAATGAATGTCCATTTTATTCGCAATAATAAAAACATCCGTATCCGGTGAGACCCCGGATAAGGGTTTAAAGTACTCGCTTCTTGAAATGTGAAGACAGAAGGAAAAAAATTCAATGAGATCGTTCTCTCTCGCGGCTACTGACGTCTTTGCGTTCTCGTATATTTGCGGGATCCGTTTTTGCCCGCAACTTCTTTTTATCGTCGTTGCCATTGACGTCTCGCTCCCATAAGAGCCGTCGCACATGTGCGAGATTCGGTGACTTCGTAAACGACCGCGCAAACTTGAAACGTTTGTATTGTTGCGTTTTAAAGAGCCAATCAAAATTCCACGTTGACCCATTTCGTGTTTGATTAACGATGCTACGTGTTCGCGATTCGACGATGTGGCCTGATAAACGCTCTCGAACGTGATCGCGATCCGACGCGTACGTCGCCGCAGAAAGCTATTATCGCATCCATGCACCAATGTCATCCAAATTGCATACGAGGCAAGCCGCATGAATAAGAGAGATCCGATGCTTGCGCGTTCAATAAAAAGCAATCCGGATAAAGTCTGCTATCTCGATTTCAATTTTAAAAACATAGACAATAAGGGGTATATACTTTCTATAGTACGTACTCTCTGAAAGTAAATCAGTGTATTATCACTGACTTCAGTGCTACACGTATAATTGATGTAGTCATTAGTGAATATTTACTGTTTTTTCGGTAATAATATACTGATTCACTTTTAGAGGTTATGATTTTGAGATTATGAATCATAATTTCTCAAAATGAATCAGTTTAATATTACTGAAAAACAGTAAATATTCGCTAATATTACAGTTATAAGTATAGCACTGAAGTCAGCGATAATACACTAATTCACTTTTAGAGAGTATGTACGTGGAAACAAACGATTTCTTTTGCTTGATTTGGTAAGAAAGTGACTTTTATAAATGTGTATGCACTGGAATCTTTTAAAAGAAAAGATGTAGTACCTATAAAATAGACATTTCAATCAGAAGAAACTGGTTTTTTGAAAATTAAAAAAATTGCATGAAAAGTTACACTTTTTTATTTTTGCTCTTCTAAGCACGAGGGCAATGATTAATCATCTTTCTTGGAAAGTAAACGTTATAATTTTCTTATAGAAACAAGCATTAAATCAGCAGCAGTTTATCGTTACTGTATTCAAACGTTAAAAATGAATGACCCCACAAATCATGGTCCAAATATTTTATTTCAGAGTGTATCGACAGTTCATTCATGAGATATTGTATCATATAGTCGACAAGATATTTCAGAGTATTTTTAAACGGGAAACCGTTGTTCTCTATCAAATTTTGTAGTCAACGTACCGAGGATTTATTATCGAGGAATAATTACCAATGCTGAATATGCATTTATGTGCGTCCAGTTCGATATCGATATCGGTTTGCCGATATATCCATCGATTGGCGTGCGATAAATGTAATTGAAATTCAGTTTTCCGTGGTACTTCGCGAGAAGCGGAGAAAACGTTAAGCAATAATTTCAGTTCATTTACCACCTACGCAGGAAGAATTAGCGGGCTTAATGTGCAGTTGACAGAATGACAAATGGCTAGCCGACTCCTCTTTTCACCTACTCGTGCAATACATTTACCTCGTTCCAATGTAGAAACATAACAGCGTAATAAAAAAAGTAATAAGTTAATAAGCGTAAGTTACATTATTAATTAATAAACAACTATATTAAACTAAGTAATTTAAATATTTATGTGATGGTAATGATAAAAAATTATCATACAGAAATTTATACAAAATAATCATTATTAAATTCAAAATTATTGTCGAAATAATCAAGCGAGATAAACATGGAATTAATAAAATCGATAAAAGTCTCTGATTTTTTAATATACTTATAATGCTATCTTATACTATTTATGTTCTGAGTTTACAGATAAAATTGGAGACTATAAAATAGTATAGATATACCTTACGTTTTGCATTGGATTATAAATTTAAATTTAATTTAGTTATGTTTTTTTATTCTTAAAATAAAACATTCATGTAAACATTCGGATCTTTACAAGTTTTTCAGAATTATTTTCGCGCTTCTTCGAATACTGGATTCTCGTAGTCAAAGTTCGCTTCTCCTTGTGCGGATAAATGCAAATGTCGGATTGCTTCGTTTCAGTAACGTTGACTTCGTTCGCTCGAGTCAACAAAAACAAATCTCTACGTTACTAGACGGGTCGATAGTTTTGGTACTTCAGAGCAAGAGTGCCGTGAACGGAGCCGCAGTTAGCCGATTTTGCGAAAACAGAGGCCAAAGCGGAGTTGACTAAATTTACTTGTTGTAACTCATGCCGATGTCAAGGACTTTTGTCGATGTAATTACATTGCCGCTGCAGTGCCAGCGAGAGTTGACGTTCGTGTAACAAACAGGAGCAGTTTCCCACGGCACAACGAATGCTAGAATGACAGAAAGGTTATAGCTTCGCTACGCGTCGTTGATTACAATGTTCGATTGAACTCAAAATACCACTCCATTTGCGGAGAATTTCTCCGATTTGGGAAAGAGTTTTGCATATACCGACGTTGCGTTTGATTGACCATCGAAAATATTACGCTTTCCGAATTTATCGATGTCCAGAGAGAACAATTTAATTTAATGTGTTTCGTTGTTTATTTTAATTAACAACGTCAATAAAAAAAACCTTATAGCTATGAAAATTTATAGTGTTTATATAGTCAGTTGTAAATAGTGACGATAGAATTTACAAAAAAATATCTTTTCGAATTTTTATATTTGAGTATTTCATGTCATACACTGCGATGAATGTAGAGCGATTTTTGTCTGATGGAAAATTGAATATTTTTACTTGTGGTGCGAAATTTTATGATAGTGAAAAATTCGTTTATTGATCATGAGGGATGCTGCCAGCTTAATGGACGTTAAAACGCTTCGTCAATAGTTGGATAATTACTTATTGGCAGCCATTGAATAATTTTTGACGCCAACGCAGTCTTTCGGTGAAGAAAGGTTAAATATTGCATATGACATACCTTTTTTGCATACGCATCTCGTAAGCTCTTTTTAGTGCGTTGCTTAATTTCCATGTAATTGAATGTATAAAGGTGGAAAATGACGATGTCCGGCATACGAAAAAAAAAGTACAAAAGCAGACAGCTCCGATCGATATACGTTAGCCAAGTATATTCATTAATGCGAAAGCTTCGTAAAAAGCTTTGTAAAACTCCGTATTACGACGTAGACTCCGATGCACCGTTTTTTCAACGTTGTCTATCGTTTATTACCACTTGAGTAGTTCTGCAAGAGTCACTTGACTTATAAAGTTAGGTACTGGATTCAGATCAAGTAAAAGCACAAAGTGCCTTTAACTACTCTACAGGTAGAAAAAAAATGTTAAAATCTCTAAATTGTTTTATCAAGAAAGAAAAGAATTTTATCGCATTTTCTAATCTTAAATTTGCAATATGTATTTTATGTCAGAATATTAAGAATAAATAATTTTAATCGCATTACGTATTTTACGAATGCAATCTCTTATTCATTCATTCATTTATTCATTGTTACAGGTCCGTCCTCAGATTTTAGCAGACACACTCTGGTGAGGCCGCGAGTGTATCACAGCAGAACAAAAAGGCAGATCTCTTCAACCAAAGAAAATGTGAGTTTAGACATTTTTTGTATAAAAAGATCTTTAAAATCTCATAAAAAATTATGTACGAGCTATATCCTGAAACTTAAAATACTGTTGAATTTTGATCGCGCACGCTGTCATTATAAAAAAAACACTCTATATTCAAGGATTCTATATGAATCAGTTCTCTTTCATCCCTCTTTGTCATATCACATAACACTTGATCCGTAAATATGAGTCATGATAGCGTTTTTTGTATAAAGATTTTTATTCATGATCCTCTTTATTATACATTTCGTCAATATAACGACTCTCTCTTACAGACAGTCTTTTTCCGTTTTTTTTTTCACAACCATAGTGAATTAAAGATTAATTAAGTGACAAAAAATTCCTCTACGCTGACGCGCCATTCTATGACATTGCTTGCAAAATGTAATACACTTCACCTTCACTCTATTAAGTGAAGGTGAAATATCTATAAGAATTTACAATATAGCTATCTTCGTTCCAATTACCAAACGCACTGGGTATTCTGGAGATTTAGCAAAGGGCAACGTCCGCCAATCTCTGACCTTTGATAAAAAGCATTGTTCAATATTGATCGTTCCTTTTTCTATGAGTTTTTATGTGGCTGCACACGGTGTTCGCCATTTGCTTGGGAGGATTACGATGCGAAACGCGCGCATCGGCGATGGGTGCAACAATTTCAATGCAAATGTCGCAGCGTGCAGCGAATACAAAACCTGCGAGGGTTGTCCTGCTATTAGATAGACCAGCGCCGCGAATAGAAAACAAAAGGGGAAAGAGAGAAAGAGAGAAAAGTTCGACCGACGTTTTGTTGTTGCCAGTGTAGTAGCAAATTCGGAAAAATCCGTCAAGGAAAATATATAACAGAGAGACTTCTACCTGAAAGACAAAAATTTCGATTTTCTTTTTCTGATATTTTTTGAATAGCTTACTTGAGAGAGAGAGAGAGAGAGAGAGAGAGGGGGGGGATAGTATTAGTCACGAGTTTTTAGGATATTTGATTCTTTAAGTCGTAAATCTTTTTTCGTACTCACGATTTTATAAATATAAAAATATATAAATGTGTATAAAAATACACAATTTATAATAGTCGAAATAAATAAAATTGTCTTTTCAAAAATTAGTACTTTTATGTAAAATAAACAGAATAATTATAATATTACAACACTTGAAGTACGAAAAGTATATTATATTGGGACCGTATTTTCAAAAGTTCTATAACAAAGTGAATACACAAAATTATGTAGAAATGTAGCTTTCTTCTTTTGTGTGTGATTCTCAATTCTGCCGATCAATGTCCAGGTTAATTATTACATTTTGTACTTGGACTTTTTAAGAACCAAATGATATAGTCAACATATTTGACAACTATGACAGTTACTTGATAGGCTGCTCTTTTAATCTAAACCATTTTCATAACTTTTATTTCAATTATTTATTTTATCCAACGGAAGTTTTTTGATAGCAAGCCGTCATGTTCTTTTCCGAGTCATTAATAAATGGTAATTAATGGTAATTAATGGTAATTAATGGTACTCTAAAATTACAAACAATTATTTTTCATTGTACGGGCTAGTATAAAATTCAAATCAATAACCGACTTTTATAATGCACTAAGAATAACATCGCAGTTATTTTCTAGAAAATTGTAATCTGTTTTACTTATATTGGGAGTACAAATTAGTTCGCTCCGTTTTCCAAAAGATGGCTCCGACTATTGTGAATGGTTCATAGTGACAGCTGATTTTGGCGGTTTCAGAGAGGTTAGACATCTGCTATATAATAATATTCAGTTTATATCGCTTTGAGTTTCATAACCTTGATTTTTACTGTGTTTGAAATGTCGAATTTTGTATTAACCAAGCAGCTGCGGGAGGTTTTAATTTTTTGCTTTAATTGGAAGAAAAGTGCAGAAGCCCATCGAATGCTTGTCGGAGTTTATGGTGACATTCCTCCAATTGATAAATCATGTAGGGAATAGTTTCGACGTTTCAAGGATGGAGATTTTAGTGTTGAAGACAGCCTCGTTCTGAATAGCCAAAAAAATTCGAAGACAAAGAATTAGAGGCATTACTAGATGAAGATCAGAGTTAAACGCAAGAGGAGCAGAATCATTGGGAGTAACTCAAAAAACCGTTTCTATACGATTGAGAGCCATAGGAATGATTCAAAAACAAGGAAATTGGGTGCCTTATGAACTGAAATCGAGAAACGTTGAAAGGCGATTTTTCACTTGCGAGCAGCTGATTCAAAGGCAACAAAGAAAAAGTTTTTTGCATCGGATTATGACTGGAGATGAGAAGTGGATATTCTACGATAATCCCAAGAAGAAAAAATACTACGCTAAACCCGGTCAATCTTTGCCATGGACCTCAACATCAATACCAAAGCCAAACATTCATGGTTCGAAGATCATGCTCTGTATCTGGTGGGACTAAAGGGATGTTGTTTACTATGAGCTACTGAAACCTGGCGATTATTACGGGCGATTGGTATCGGCTACAATTGATTCATTTGAGCCGTGCATTGCGAGAAAAACGGCCGGAATACGAGCAAAGACATGATAAAGTTATTTTTCTTTACGACAACGCTCGGCCTTATGTCGCAAAAGTCGTAAAAAAATATTTAGAAACGCTCAAATGGGATGTTTTGCCGCACCCGCCATATTCTCCAGACATTGCTCCTTCTGATTACTAGTTGTTCCGAAGGGTGCAGCACGATTTGGCAAGTCACCGGTTCACTTTTTTCATAAAAATCGAAAATTGGCTCCAAAATTGGATCGTCTTCAAAGTTGAGTCATTTTTTCGAGATGGAATTCGAAAATTGCCTGAAAGATAGGAAAAAGTAGTAGCCAGCGATGGACAATACTTTAATTAATCTGTTCATTCATTTTGTTTTGAAATAAATGCATTTTTGAACACAAAAAAACGGACCGAACTACTATAATTTGTACTAAAAAACGTAGTTTTATTTATTTTTATTATAAATTGTGTAACTTTTACACATTATTTATATAATCATTATATTATGTAATGAATAACATAAAAGTGTGTGTAATTTTATTTTTTATAGTACAGGTAGAGGATTCATTTCGAATATGTTGAAAATATAACCAAAGCGAGTACTGTGTGGTGGTTAGAGAAAATAAGAACAACTTTTAGTCGGTTACGCAATAACATTTCCGTTTACTAGAAAGGCACGTCGAGGAAGATATAAAGTAACGTTTCATTTCTGTGAAAGCTGTTTTGAATACAGCGTGTGCCTGTACTTTTATCCTATCTTCGCTTCTTTTCGCTGGCGTAACGTACCACATAATAGAAGATGGCAGGCAGAAGTGTATACTTACAGGAACAACAACAGAATTTACATCGGGTGTATACACATCTCGGTGTCATCCCTTGTGAATCCGTTATTTGGCGGGTGCCACAATGGACCTGCACGTACGTCACTTTGCAAGTATAACTGTAACAAATACACTCATGATAGTTTGCATCCCGTTTATTGCATCTCTCTAGATTTCATTCGATAAAGAAAAAATGGAGCCTGTTACAACTTGAATGCAATGATGCGATTTTCATCGACAGTTTTTAAAAATAAATCAATATACAATATTTATTTTTATTACAGGAAGAAAAAAAAAGGAAAGATAAAAAACGCATTAAAAATATATTTAATTATTCAATCTATTAATCATTCATATACAATATAATGAGTAAAATTTATTGTCAATATATATAGGTAATTTTAATTAATAATATTTAATTTATTAAACATAATATTTATTATTAAACTCAGATATAATTTTTATTAATCCTAACGCAGTGTTTGTCAGAAGATTATAATTTTAATTTAATTTTCACATTTTATAATATTAATTTTTTACGCCGTAGTTTGTGCTTTTTCATTAGATATATGTACATATAATATTGCTGATAAATATTAAAACATATGTTGATGTACATGTATTTATGAACAAGGGGATTCTGTGTGCCATACTAGTGTGCCAGTGAATACACCTAATATTCGAATAAATGAATAAAAAATAAATAAAAACATCCATTTGAATACATTTCTTTTTTTATATATCAAGAAACGAATAAATACTTTTTCATTCAATTTGAGAGGATAAATATTTTTTGAATATGATTACAAATAATTTTGTTTCTGTATTCACTTTTACTTTGTATTATCTGTACATAGCTTGCAAGTCTCTAAGAGAAAACAGAAATCTGTAAAAATAATGAAAGTGATGGAGAAATCCTCCATTAGTGATGCCAGATGGCAAATTAGTGACATGTCACGGTATCCTATATAGCTAAATAAATTCATCTCAAATAAAAATTACATAAAATTATATGTTATTTTAAATGAAGACTTATGTATAAAATTATGTATAAAATTTTTTCCTCTTCCTAAAGTGCTTGCACTAACATTGAGAATTCTAGAATTGTGAAACAAACTTCAACTACCGCAATCCCGAATGTTGTAACCAAGGTTGTAACCACATGGCGTGTACGTATGTGTACATATATGTGTGCTTGTTGGTCCGGATAAGAGTATAACATAACACTAGTACTGCTATGGTGTCGTCAAATATAGTATACACCGTTTGATATGTGATTCCGCAGGCACGTGTATGAGTTTATTTACTTACAATCAACCATAGTGCTGTGGTTGTAGATTGCAGATTCTACTCTGTGACTTATGAACTGTGATTTAGTGACACAAAAGTTGTAATTCGCGTGCGCGATTTGGCCCTGAATAGACTGCGAAGCAAACTTCTTGATTGATGTTAAGTGGAATCGAAAAGAATACAAAGCAAACGATTTAATAAGACGATAGAATGATATAATGTGCACATACACGTATCAAGTCTATTGAATTTTACAAGCCTGTAGTTAAATGCACAATAGAACAGTAGGAGTTAATATGCATCGATTTTTTATCCATTAACTATTTCTAAGAAATTTTTAATAAATATGTAAACTATGGTAAATATA